TATGACAAAACTAGTTGTTCGAAAGTTCTCGGTTGTGCTTGCTGGCTGTAACAACTGCATTCATTAAAACTTCCTGAAAACCAGCCATCTCAAACTCATGAACGCCAGCTATAGTTATCCCTCCAAGAGATCAACGCCATCTTTCAGAAGATGTGGGTGTTTTCCAGTATTAACTGACATTGATGATGCTCCTAATACCTTCAACTGTTTAATGGCTGAGGCTAAATGAAGTTTTGATGCTTTAGGCACTATAACAGGAGATAGAATTTGGAAAGTATCATTTGAATAAACAAGAAAATCTCCTATTTAAGATTTTAGAAGAGATAGTTCATCATGAATCTTAGCAGGCACACGTCCCAGACTGAGAGGTTCAAGTTAGAAGGCATATTCCAAATCCAAATGTCGCAGACTGAGAAAGTTCATCATGAATCTTAGCAGGCACATGTTCTAGACTGAGAGTCTACATGTGAGGGTTCATGTTAGAAGGTACAATCTAGATCCAAATCCAAAAGGAAAGGATGAAACATTGCGTCAAGAAATTTCATGCTTTCTGTTGACATGTGAACTCTGACCTCGTCCACATAAGTACTTTCCAGGTCATACCTCTTTATATACAGGAAGGTCAGACACATCATCCCTGCTAGCTTGGACTAAGGACCGTTGTAATCTGTGGGGACAAAATGATGACCAAATCTCTGCCCCACATGCACACATCTTCACTGGCCAATTCAAAGATGACACTTGGCTATTATGACATCAGCACCACGTATTTCAACCAATCAGCAACAGTTAATAATTAAAAGACATTAGCCCGTCTAGTGCAGATAATTCTGCAAAGTAGACAATGATTATATCCCGGCAAGTCCAACCTCTGTCACCAACCAAAATCAAGCAAATGGCATACATATCAAGAGCATTATTGTAGCCGATTTAATCTTGGGTGGCCAATCTGTGCGATTAAGTCTATAAATAGGAATGTAGTGGTTCTCCCTTGAGTCTGAGCTCAGCACACTTCTTGTGTACACTTCACATTTACTTCAGCTAGTAAAAAACACTCCTTCTTTATCTATCTTTGCAATATAACTATGACAAATCATCGTTAAAGTTGACAAAAATTAACCCAGTCATTCTTTGACAACGACACTTTCGAATATGTAATAACAATAAATTTACATAGAACATATTATATAGCATGATAAAGTTAACGTATTCATTGGCATACAGTTTGAGAAGCTAGCCCAAGTGCCAGTTCCTTGCAAAGACCAGCGGCTACCTCTCCATCAGCCAAAGCTTCAATTCCTAAAAATGGGTATGTAGGTCCACTACCATAGAATATTCCAGGAAAAAATGAATTCATTAGAACAGGCCAAATTAGCCCCATGTTTTCGTCTCCAAAAATGCATATGGCTTATCCAAGCACACACACAGGGCAGTCACAATGGCGGAACCCAAACACTTAAACTCAATTATGTCAAAGATAAACCAAAAGCTTTGCATCAAACAGTTTCTCATCAGCTGTCCACACCTTACCAGTATCTCTAAATAACTTAGAAATAAATTATTCATCATCTTTAGTAGCCAGGGATCGGGATGGCAATGGGCCAGGACTCAATTTCCTTCCCCGTTCTCGCCTTGTATGGGAATTTCGCACCTCATCGCCGTCCCATCCTTACTTAAAATGGGGCTGGATCCCTGAATTCCTGTCTAATGTCCTGTTGTTGTTGTATTTTTTTTTTTACAGCTAATAATTAAAAAAAAAAAACTGATTTCTAAAGTAAAAATCTCAATTATTAAAATCAATTTTTTGTGAAAGAGAAAAAGATCCCTTCGCTAAAGATATTCTAATGCTCCAGCCTCCATTTAAATTTACAGTCATTACAGCAAAGCCTACTTTCATTCATTTGCTATTTTAATACAATTAATGTTAAAAACATAATTTCTAAACTAAAAATGTTCAATCATTAAAACTAAAATCTTGTAAAGCAGTAATTCAATTTATATATTATGAAAAAAATTGGTTGTTGGATACTTAATTCCAGAAAATTATTCCATTACTTTGGGAAACAACGTTAACCAATAACAACTTTCTCACATGGAGAAATTTGTTTCCAAAAAAATTTAAACAAAAAATGGAAAAACATTTTAACTCACTAGTCTTTCAATCAAAAATCCCAAACTCAAACATTTTAAACCCTTGCAAAGAACACATCCAAATCGACACATCTAAACCACAATTACATAGTCCCAAACAGGAAACCTCATCCAATGGAGCCCAACATCAAACCTAGCAACCTGAAAATCGCTCTATCACCAATCGACTCCCCAAATCGATTATCCCTAAAATTGATTTTCCCAGAATTTTGAAGATAGCAAAATCAGAAAAAAAAAAAGGAAAAAAAAAACAATAGGGTTCTTCCTATTTCAATCACTGATATAGATCCATCCTCGGAAACTAACTGTCGCATAGACACCAAACTAAGTTATTGAGGAGAGTTCTCTATTTTGAAGACGCCGTGGACCGTTGATAATCTAGGAAGACAATTTTGGGGATGTTGATGTGTGAGTTTCATTGATTATTTGTAAAGCCACTTAACTTGATATTTTGGTTGTCTTTGAGCAATTTAAAATGTTTTAATGTGTCTGTTTGTGTTGTTTTACAAGTTAGATAACTTAGTGAAAAGAAGAGGTTGGAGCGTGAAAAGGAGCCAAAGTTTATTTGAGGGATCCCGCTACACGTACAAAATAGGATGACAAAGGTAGATTACAAAATGACGTGGCAGGGGGGAATTTTTTAAAAATAAGGACAATAATGCTACTGTATCCCTCACTTTTGCTTCCAATTTTTCCCCAAATCTAAAACCACTTTCTCATCTCTCCCCATTTCCTTTCTCCACTTCCCCCTCCCATTCCAAGGTATTCGATTCCGAAGTACTCACCTCCGGTAGAGGCCTCACCTTCGACACTTTCATCATCTGTATGCACTTCCGGCCAGCTCCACACTGTCATTGAAGAAGCCGCCGGTGTCGGGTCGCGACATTCGACCTTAACAAAACAATCGGTGGACATCCCTAGAATCTCAACCCGGGACAATAAACTGAGTTGTATGATTTGCTAAATACGAAGGTATTATTTGTTAAATTTTGTAATTTTTAGCGATTTGATCTTTTACCTTTGTTGAATGAAATAAGAGCTTTGATATCTTTTCTTCCCAGTGTTCATGTGGGTGACATGTTTACCACTCACAAATCTTTTTTGGGTTTCACTTTTTGTTTGTTTTTCCTCTCATAACGTAAAAAGGTAGGTAAATTTGATGCTCATATGCTCCAAAATCGTGACATTATTTGAGAGGGAAATGTAGTGTTGTTTGTGTATTATGTAGGTTTTGTTTGTATGTGGGTTTTCGTGGATTTTCCATAAAAGGGCAAGCATGGGAGTGAAGTATGATTTGCGGGTAGGATTAGCTTGTGAATTCTGTTGGCCAATAAGGTGTGTGTGTGCGTGTGTTTTGTGAAGCTTTTCACTATAATTAATGCTGTAATATTATAGACAAGTTTTAAGAAATGCCCAGGTTCTATTTGTGGAATGACTTATTTTCGAATTTAGGGAGTAGAAATCCCCTGTTATCTTTGAATTCAAGTGGGATATCCAGTTATGAATGAAGTTGAATGTCTTGAAAGTTTGATTTTCAAAGCCCTATTTATTTCAAGAAGCAATAAATAATTCCATAGCTGTTGTGGTTTAATTTAAAAGAAATTCTTGATTCGTAGTCTTGAATTCTCTCTCTCTTTCTATATATATATATATGGTTTTGAATTAGATTAAGATCATCTTTAAATAATCCCTTTGAATCTGCAAGTGTGGAGATATATATATGGTTTATTAAGATACTTCGAACATGTTAATATAATTGCTTGTGGCAGTAAGAATAATCAAATTATTATGTTTTCAGCAACACAGAATGTCGGGAAAGAATGCCACAGTTGCTGGAGTGTTGGACACTTCTTTGGTGATTGTCCAATAAAACGTCCTTAGTTCGTCGGGGAAAATCATCTGTCGAAGTGAAAGCGAAGGGGACGGAGACGGCTTGAGTAGTGGTTAATGAATTGCTACCTATGTAGGCAGTAGCTTTTCAAATATTTATGCATATAATGCATGACATTTTGTATTGTCTTCGATGGTTGGTAATTGGTAATATCAGTACTTTGTATCTTGGTGCTTATTTTTGCTTGCAAAATCAGTTTATTACTTGCTCTACAACAATGGCATCTCTTTATTTTTCTTTTCTTTATGCTTCCTGGGAGATAACAGTGAGATTATCTCCACCAATTTAAATTCACTTGATGGACAGTGAGATAACAACCTGCATTGTACCAATTGGGAGTGGTTCAATATTGACTGAGACTAGAATTCCTTTGTGAAAACAAGCTCAAGTTCAAATCCACCCCTAATTTCACGCATAGAACACCATTTTGGTTGCTAAATTCCTGCGACCTCAAAGGCAAAGGGAATACTTATTGGAGCATAAATGCAATACTCACCCCCACGCATAAATGCAATACTCATTGGCACATAAATGCAAACAAAACTGAAGCTATAAACAAAAGGAGAGTTCATTGCAGCAAGGGAGAGTTCATCACACTACGATGACCAACAAAAGTAATTTATCATACACATCTCGTAGTCGAATACTAAAATAATTCTCTAACAAATTACACCTAAACAAATTATCATAACAATTTTCTCATTTAGCAGCCCATACATCTATATATAACAAAACCAGCTGCGTCCACTTTGTTGTTCTGTTTGCTTGAATTCAATTGGTCCCACCATGATGGGGTAAATATGGACCTAACATGCAAATTAGAATTAATGAACGAAGAGGAAGTATTGAAATTCAAATGTTGTTATTTAAAAATTTATATACCTTGTGAATTAAAAATAACATTTGTGGTCATAGGAGGAATCAAAGTAGAAGACGGCACTTGTTGTGTAAATTCATGGCTCACCCCATCGGCCTATATCAATTCACAGGCGGTAAGACAATTGAAAGTCTTTAAGACACGCTATAACAAATATACTAACCAATAGGAGTTGCGAATATGAGAATGGCATCGTCATGGCATGTTGTTGACGAGGAGGTAGAACCTCGGGTACACCATCGTCCATACTACTTTGTCTCGGTGTTTGTCTCTTTCCTTTGATTCGATCCGATTGTACCTATATATACACCATAACAAATATTACTTAGCGTATAAAATAAAATACATAAAATAGAGTAAAGCTAAAGAATATACCTTTGATTTCTTAGCACTCACCTCCAATGACCCTTTTATTCGTTTTCTCTTTGGCGCCCCCTTTCTTTTTTATGATTTCGGATCCTTGACACTCCCGCTCATAGGATCTTGAGGTACAGTACACTGGGAAATATTATTACTACCTGAACTCGGCTTTACCAAACTAAGCTCTTTATTTTGAATTTCTATCCAATCCATGATTGCACGATATCGCCCTTCATCATCAGCTGCACGGTCTGCCACTTTGGAGAATGCCTGACACATGTCATCATACCTCAATTGTCCAGGAGTACTAGCCAACCCATCATAATTAACTGCGACCCTCGTGTGTGCTCTGTTGACGTCTCTCCTCCATCTCCGCAATATGTATCGATCCGGAATAACAGTTACGTCATTACGAATTAACACTGCAATTGCATGCCTGCACACTATTCCTCGGAACTCGAACAAGTGACAACCACAAATAATCTCACATTTCTCTATATTGAATGAGACCACAAACATTTTTTTCTTTCGTCGTGGCAGTTGCATATAAACTCAGATGTCTCTCTCTAATGAGATAAAAAAAAGTTTTCTTCTTCCCCTACTCATAATAGAGGACATTCGCACGTACCTCATACGTGGTCTCTGAAGATCCCTTCGAAACATATATGAGATCACAATATACCTTACCCTTGAATTCTTCTTGGACTTCTTTGAATTTTGAAATAGTATACACTGATTGAAAATGCCTTTCGATTTCATAATTCGTGGCACACGGTACAGTTTGTGGGTATGACTTGAAATCAGCTTGGAACTCCTTTTCGACCTTACTTCTGAGTGCTCTTTCATATTGTTCCACAAACTGCTTCAGAGAGGTTTTCGAATGGACATAACCGTCGAAGAAAGCATTCATACTCTCACTTCGCTGAGTTGTGGACATCCCCGTCCAAAAAGCCGTTTTCAAAAAGCAAGGCACCCAACGACCTCTATTAACATACAACCCCGACAACCATTCATTATCTATCAACTCATATGTCTCGATCATCTCTTTCTAACCTAATTCAAATTCTTCAATATTCTGTGAATCATACACCAACTGATGTATAGCCGAAAATATGGAAACCTTATCAACATGGTACCCAAACTTCTCCGGCAACTTCTTCAAAATGTGTCACAAACACCACCTATGCTTTGTATCTGGGAAAATAATCTCAGTAGCATTTTGCATGGCCCTATCTTAATCAGTAATTATTCCACGAGGAATTCTACCATGCATGCACTCAAGCCATGTCTTGAACAGCCAGACAAAGGTATCAGTGTCCTCGTTCGATAACAATCCACAACCGAACAAAGTTGATTGATCGTGATGATTTACACCAACAAAAGGTGCGAATGGCATGTCATACTTGTTAGTGAGGTAAGTTGTATCAAATGTGACAACATCCCCAAACTCCTTGTATGCTTGCCTACATCGATTGTCTGCCCAGAACACATTTTTCAGACGTGAATCGTCATCTAAGTCAATACTAAAATAAAATCCCGAGCACCTTGCTTGCATTTTAGAAAAGTAAGACTGAATTGCTGCTGCATCACCCTCGCCAAGTCTTAGTCGTCTCACTTGTTCAATATAGTTCCGACAATCTTTTTCTATGCAAGTCATATTCTCATAGCCCCCTGCTTCGACAACTGCAGAGTTAAAACTTTTATGAAATGGTATACCAGCCATATCGTTCACTTCAAGCTTTCGTTTTACTTGTGCACTTAATTCTCGGTTGCATCGATACAACCTCGACTTAGTAGGACTTGTCTTATGGTTGTGGTCAAGATGGACTGTGTTAATTTTCCAGTAACCATGGATATCGAAAGATGCAGAGATTCTAGCTTTACAACCCGTTTGAATTGTTGGTTGCGGCTTCATAGAAGTGCTTGTATTACTATTTCTTCGCCCTTCCTGACTACATGTCAATGTGACATATCTCAAAACACCATCATCATCCTTCGTCGAACTCCTCTTCCTAATTGGAAAACCCATGGCATATGCATATCTTGCATAAAAATCGTACAGTTCTTTTTCATCATTGAACTGCATACCAACCTCAGGCACAATACAATCATCTCTTCCTATAGTTTCCTCTCCCACAACATTTACATTGTTGTCCACATTCTCATTTTCGGATTCAACGAACGAAACATCTTCCATATTTTTGTCTTCTGCAAAATGTAAATGCTATATGTCATCAACTCATATTAAAATGTGATTAAACAGTTAGCTCATTTTAGTATCCATTTATATCATGGTTCCAAAATTTTCATCACAGAATATATTAGGGTAGAAGTCCAGTATACTTGGTTAACTAAATGAACAAATGAATGAACCGATTAAAAAAGAAATCTCACAATTCAACCAAAAAGATATCAATTTCAATGGTGTTATGAATTTCTTATACTTCATAACTAAATTAATTGATGAAAAAAATTCAATTTCCAGTAAGATTTTAAAAATTGAAAATGCAATTATTTCCATCTTTCAAACACCACGAAACTCTAACAGCTTAACTCATACCAAGAAATTCCAAGCTACAAAACAAAAGCACCCATACCTTCTTATGTGACGACCGACCATTGTCGGAGATGGAGAAGACAGACCGAAGAAGATAGGTTGGACTGAAGAAAAAAATGGAGGTGCGAGGTCGGATGCGCCGTTGATGCTGGGTCTCTCACTACCTAGCCATTCTTTGGATTTTTGACACAATGTTGGGGAAATTGTTGGATGTTCGCTACCAATCATTGGGCGTCGCTTTTGGGTCTCTTGCTACCTGGCCAAGAAAATGTTGGATTTTTGCTGCAAGTCGTTCAAGAAAATATTGGATTTTTGCTACAAGTCATTGAAGAAAATGTTGGATTTTTGCTGTGAATATTTTTGGAGTTTTGCTACAGCTGTACGTTGAAGAAGATTGACTATTATTATAGATTTACAGCAAAGTTTCCCATTTTTGGCGCCATTAATTCCCACCTCTCTCTTTAAAATCACAACCGTCCAAATGCCTTTTATCTCGGCCGCACACGTGTATTTGTTAACCTATTTTGTAAACTTCCTTTGTACAAGAGGCATTATTGTTATTTGAGTGTGAATAAGCGTGGAAAAGACCTAAAATAATCCTAGAAAGTTGAAAGAAAGATAATCAAAGTAAGAAAAAATGAGTACAACAACCAGGTGCTGCAGCGCCTAGCCATGGAAGTAGAAGAAACAGAAGTCTAGCGCTGCAATGTTAGCGTGAACTAGATCACGGTGCCGCGACAATGGGAAGCCAGCACCGAGGCACCATTAGCAAGGTGGATTTTCTTATTTATTTAATGTTTTAAAAAGAGCCCAATTCGACTTCAACTCTTCTAGAACTTTAGGAGACTATAAATACAACTCTAAAGACCAATTTTAAGGGAGAATTCCAGAACGCAAAAATCAAGAGGCAAGAGATCAATCAAAAGAAAAAAAGGAGGCAACAACTAGAATAAGAATTCTAGCAACAAACCAGTTTTTATTTCTTTTCTTCTCAATGTTTTAGATATTGAATTTGATTACGTCTACTTCATTAATCATGTTCTAAACTTCTAATTTAGGGTTTCATGCAGCCAAAACTAGAGACAATGTTTTGATTTTATTTAGTTATTCCTATAAAATTTTCCTTTCAGTTTATTTATGTTATTGGTTTAATGTTTTCAATTTCTTGATCAATAATTGAATGATTTGATACTAGCCAATTTCAACATACGAGTTAGGGAGATGCGATCTAAGAATAACACAATCTAGGTTTTATAAGGTTCGAGAGAAAGTATAAAATCTTTGAAACTTGATCCACTTAAGAACCACGGACTTAATAATTTCTAGATTTTACTATGCAATTGAGATATTGGAATTGAAATATACAAATAGTTTTTACTCGGCACTCGAGAGAGGGAGTAGAATTACGTTAGGGTTCTTGCTTCTGAATTTGAGAATATCGATTAGAAATAATTATATAATTGAAAAACATTGTTGGTAGTAGGTTAAATTCATACCCAAGGCTTGTCATATTGATTTATTTCTTCAATTTTGCATAATATTGTTGAATTGTCATCATATTCATCATCTTTTGATTTAGTTAGAAACATTGATTTAAACATTCATTAATCTAGATGAAATAGAGGCTAAAATAATTATAGTACTTGGTATAAATCGAATTTAAATCCCTGTGGGTTCGACATCCATACTTGATCATAAATTACAAAACTTGATACCGTATACTTACGGTATAATTACATCATAAAACGTGTAATATATTTTTGACACCATTGCTGGGATTGACATATTTGATTTCATTACTGATATTATTACCAATTAGCTTTTCTTTTAATTTAGATATTTTATTTTTTATTTTTCTTTATTCTCTAATACTGTCTTGATTTTTATTTTTAGTTGTTTATACAAAGAGCGAGGAATCTTGAACTACTACCTGTTGATCTTAAACTAGAATGCACTTTCCATTTTTCTAAGGGGTGTACAAAGAAATGAACGTGAAATAATGGCAAAACAGAAAACACCACAGCTAGTGAAAATAATTATCAAAGGGCTGTTTGGGCTACATTCAACCAATTATAAATAACTACTTTGGTATTACACACTAGATAATAGCTACAAACAACTTTGACTTGAAGCTAGAATTAATACACATGGTTCAACAGAATCAGTTTGGGGAAGGTCCACAAGATGATCCTAACGCTCATGTGGCTTTTTTTCTACAGATTTATGATATTGTGAAGATGAACAGAGTTACAGAATATGTCATCAGATTGTGTTTGTTTTCTTTCTTCTTGAGAGATAAAGCAAAAGCATGGATCCATCACTACTTGGGAGGGATAAGCCCAGAAATCTCTTACTAAATTCTTTCTCCCTTCGAAGT